TAAACTGGTGAGTTACTTGCCTGCATCCCAAAAAAATATGACTTTCCAACTATAGCGGAATATGAGCTCTTAGCTGTTGGTTTGCTGGGGCCTACTGGCATCTCTACTACAATACAGTACTTATTATTGTAACAGGGGAAATTAACGTGTTAGGGGCCTCTCTATACTCGCATATATAGGGACTGTTTTACCTATTAAATGGTCTATAATTTTGTCTGGTCATTGTGGCTATCCAGAAGACAGCCTAGAAGCTAGCACAGCCACAACCTTGACCTCCACTGCAGCAGCTCAGCTTGGACCCACACTCCCATGTCAGCTTGTTCACTGTTAACACATGTCCTTACAGCTGAACCTGTCTTACCCCTAGTGCTTATCTATTGCAATCTTTATGTTTCTGTCCAAGAGACTGGATAAGACTTCAGTTTGCACACAAGCACAACCAGCATGATTAATAATGATAAAGAAATTCAATAAACCAACAATTAGGCAATAAAAAGCAAGGCACTTTACTAGTTTACCAAATTTCCTTGTTCAAATAGTTTATTGGGAATAGGGTGACTGAAATATAAATCCCGTGCAATGAGTGGTTTTGGTGAATTTTCAGGCTGCTGCTGACCAATAAAAAACAATCCAAAATACAGTTTTGCTCAAAAGTGTACACACTTTTGGAGAATTGGTAATATACAGTATGTACCAGTTTTAAAGAAAACAAGAGTGAGCAGGCAAAACACATTTCTTTTATTTTTTATGGTATTCATATTCAACTGTAGGTCCAAACAGATTAGCACAATTGTATAACAAAACATGGCAACAAATAAACAAATGAAATGACCCCTGTTCAAAAATCTGCATACCCTTAGTTTTTAATACTGTATATTGCCCCCTTCAGCATCAATGACAGCGTGCAGTCTTTTGTAATAGTTGTTTATGAGGCCCCCAAATTCTTACAGGTGGTATAGCTGCCCATTCGTCTTTGCAAAATGCCTCCAAGTCTTTCAAAGTCTTTGGTCATCTTGCATAAATCACACGTTTGAGATCTCCTCAGAGTGGTTCAATGATATTAAAGTCAGGAGACTGTGATGGCCACTCCAGAACCTTCATTTTTTTCAGCTGTAACCATTGGGGGGTCAACATGGCCTTGTGCTTAAGGTCATTGTCATGCTGGAAAGTTCAAGAGCATCCCAAGTGCAGCTTTTGTGCAGAAGAATGCAAATTGTCTGCCAGTATTTTCTCATAACATGCCGCATTCATCTTGAATTCATCATGAATTTTCAAAAGATTCCCTGTGTCTTTAGAGCTCACACATCCCAAAACATCATTGAGCCACCACTAGGCTTCACAGTGGGGATGACATTGTCACTATAGGCCTTGTTGACCCCTCTACAAACATAGCTCTTATGGTGGATCTCTTCACTCCAGATTATTATGTGCCAGAAGCTGTGAGACGTGTCAAGGTGTTGTCAGGCATATTGTAACTGGGATTTTTTGTGGCAGTGGTACAGTAAAGGCTTCATTCTGGCAACACGACCATGCAGCTCATTTTTGTTCATGTATCATCGTATTTAGCTTCTTTAAAAAAAAACACACTGTCTTTTTCCAGAGCAGCCTGTATTTCTCCTGTGGTTACCTGTAGGTATTCCTTTGTATCCCGAACATTTCTGGCAGTTGTGGCTGCAATCTTTCTTGGTTTACCTGCCTATTGCTTGGTATTAAGAGATCCCTGAATTTCCCACTACTTAATAACTGATTGCATAGTAATGACTAGCATATTCAGGGTTTTGGATATCTTTTTATATCCTTTTCAGTTTTTATAACGTTCCATTACCTTGTTACACAGGACTTTTGACAGTTCTTTTCTGCTCCCCATGACTCAGTATCTAGCCTGCTCAGTGCATCCATGTGAGAGCTAACAAACTCATTGACTATTTATGCACAGACACGAATTGCAAATTAAAAAGCCAGAGATGTGAGAAATGAACCTTTAATTGCCATTTTAACCTGTGAGTGTCACTTTGTTTGTCTGCACCAAGGCCAAACATTCCAGGATATGTTATCTTTCAATCAGGGCCATCTGGGCGATTTCCATTGTCATTATTGTTATGATTTAAAAAGGAGCAAAAAACCTATGTAATAATAAATGTCTTCATATGATCACTATCCTTAAATAAAAAACAGATTTTTGGCATGATCATAGTCATATTTTCAATACAAATGCCAAAATGTCACGCTTTTTGCCAGGGTTTGCAAGCTGCAAATTCTACTCCTGACATGCATGGGGATACCACATACGAGTGCATTATTTGTTGTTTGCACCCGTAGTAGGGCCCAAAAACAATAGTGTGCTTTTTTACTTTTTTTTCCTACCTAAAATGCACTGACACTAAGGATGGCCATTCATGCTTTGATTTTATTATCGAATTGATATGCGATTCGATAAAAATGATCAGATTGGCAATAGGATTAGGCATAACTTTTCTTCTGGTAGATTGCAACTCAGCCATTTATTTCCTCTTCTTTAGCTAATCCCACCATACACCCACTAACAGGGTATTAACAGTCAGCAGATTTTTATATTGCTATCCTCAGGGCCAATCCTCAGAGCACTGCAGTGTGTTTTTTCAATGAATTTTAAATGTATCTGCTGGCAAAGGAACAGAAAAAAATGCCCCAATCACCACCATTATTATTATTATGACTGTATTGCAAATGGAGAGGCTGTAAATAAACTGCACAATTCGGTTGCTCAAATCCTTCCCTCCTCCCTGCCCCAGATTTCCCCAGATACACAGTGCTTTGCTATGTAAAGGACATTCAGTAATCGTTTACATCTACTTTAAGAAACCAGTGTCTCCTGACTCAAGCCTTTAGTGGCAGCACTCCCTATGCTCCCCCCTATCATAGCTAAGCACAATGCCAATATGTCTGCTGGGAAAAAAACCTTTTCTAGTGTGGAGGCTGGCTTATCCAAATGTCCCCTATTGGCCCATCTAAGCCATGCAATCAAATTTTACAAGCAAGTGCAATAGTGGTAGCTGATTGCTATAGCTTCAAAATTATGCATGAGTTTCCCAGCTTCACAAACCATGTATGAGTTAGAATAAAGCCATTCTAAACCAGAACCCAAATCTCATCGCTAGCTAAGTATACCAAGACTGATAACCAATAAATAAACGTCATCTTGCCTTTACAAACCCAGCAAGCCATCGTCTGAAAGAGACATAAATAAATGAAAGGCCATCAAAAAGAAAAAGCATTAATTTAAAAAATTCAAACTTTTCCATTGACCAATTGATTCTCTTTTTATTGTCTTTGAACGTTTTTTTTTTTTGGGGGGAGAGGCAATCACAAAAGCCAAGTAAAATATGTATTAAGTAAAAAAACATTTTAAACCAATAAAGCTCATGTCTAAAGTGTACGTATAGCCTAACATTTTTAGGAGTTAAATTAACTGTCAAGTTTCTATTACTGTCCGCACACCTAGCAAAAAAATTCACCCTTTCCATTTTTCCTGGAGACCATTACCACAGACAAAGTGAGAGGAAATCCAAAATGTTAGCGCTATCACCAGATTAATGTATTTTTTTTCTCTTTTGGTTAAGCTAGATTGACTTCTTTTTTCAACTTATGTAACAAGAAGTTGAGGGTAAATCACTCTGGCATCTGTTTTGGTGACAAATGTCTTTGTGACAACTGTAGAGATTTTCTCTCCTCTCTTGTTTCATTTCCAGGACATGACGTGAAGGGGAATTCTTGACTGGGAGATGGATGGCAAAAAATTACTGGCATTTTACCCTAGTCTATCCAAACTGTAAAAATGTTTGATATGCATACATTTACATGTATGAATATTATGTCTGGAACTAACCAGTTTTGATACATTTTAGTTAAAAAAAAATTACATTGTCCATGCTTAGACCTATAATATCCTTCACATTGGCTAGGATTCATACATAGGTTCTTGAGATGTACTTGTTACATTTGCTCTTTTAAAGCAATAATAGGATGAGTTCCTGGATAGTTGGTACACTTTACATACTATACAAGTGCTGGTCCAGTTGCACATGTAATTTTCAGCTTTCATCGCTGTCGCACTTTGAATGACAAGTGCGCTGTCATGCAACACTGTACCCATATGACATTTTTATATTTTTTTATCACACAAGTAGAGCTTTCTTTTGGTGGTATCTAATTGCCACTGGGTGTTTTTTTGCACTATAAACAAAAAAAGAGCAAAAGATTTGAAAAAAAAAAGTTTTTCTTTGTTTCTATTATACAATTTTGCAAACAGGTAATTTTTCTCCTTCACTGATGTGCGTTAATGAGGCTGCCCTGATAGGCAGCACTGATGGGCACTGATAAGGTGGCATGGATAGGCAGGTCTGATAGGCTGCATTGATGCGGTGGCACTGATGAGGCGGCACTGGTTGGTATTGATGAGGAGGAACTGATGATGCTGCACTGATATACAGCAATGATGGGCACTGATGGACACTGATAGGTGGCACTGATGTGCTGCACTGATGGATGGCACTGCTGAGCACTGGTGGGGGGCACTGGTGGGAGGAACTGATCATCAGGGCACTGATGATCAGTGCTGATCTGCTCTGTGACAGCTGCCGGTTATCGGCAGTACTTTCCTCACCCTGTGACAGCGTGAGGAAAGTGCTGCTAATAACTGGCAACTGTATTTACTCAGTGATTTGCTGTGTCATTGGACGCAGCTGATCATGTGGTAAAAGGCCACTGTGATTGGTCTTTTACCTCATCACGTGATCAGCTGTGTTCTTAGGACACAGCGATCATGGAGAGCACCGGGTGTGCGCTGCTGGGGGCGCGCAGGAGGGTTCATTCTGGGAGGATGTCATATGACGCTCTCCCAGAACTGGATAACCATGCTGTAGCCATCATTTGGCTATAGCGCAGTTACCAAGTGGTTGAAGGCAAAACTGGTTCCTTAAAAAAAAATGGGTGGTAAAAATAATATTAAAGTGTTACTAAACCCAGGACCCTGCAACCACTATATCTGGTCTCCCACAGTACACAGACTATGGAAATGCAATTATTTTAGTAACTATTAACTGCTAAAACCTTTTATCATCAGCAGTTAGAACAGTCTTGTGACTTCTGCAGAGCACATGTTAATACTTGTAGGAGGAGTTTTCTTTCTGCTCTAGGAGGATGCAAAACCCATGTCTGGACAGTGCAAAACCTCTGTCTGGACAGTGCTGATTGGCCCTGTGCTGATCACATGCACTGTCCCGAGAAAAGAAAACCTCTCTAGCAATACACAACAAACTGAGCTTGTGCATGTGGCTACAGGTTCTGTCTGTCTTATCAGGAGATAAGACGTGGACATTTGAACAAGAGGAGGGGCAGAGAAAAGAGGATCAAATGGCCTTTTAACACAATGCAGAGGATTAACCCCTTAGGTTGCACAGTGAGTATAACAAGCATGCTTTACTACATATACAGACCGATGTTACTGTTGTGGATTTAATAACACTTTAAGCTGTTTGAATGATGATGATTTATGAGTTAACATAAGATTTATGAGAGAACATGACCACAATATAACGTCTCTTATCCCATTTTAATTTTGAGTAAACTTTCCATTTTTGACTAAATTAACCATCCCCTGCTACAAATTTTTTTTGTAGACCTCTAGGATCCATTGAACATGATACCACATTAATGAAAATACAAAAAACTTGCTATCAGGTTGAAGTCTGTGTCCTCTTTAGATTTTTAATATAAATAATAGGTGCAGCGCTAAAATATGAATGTCATAAATCATATAAAGTGCAAATGAATCAAAAAGTGCAAATTAAATTATGGAAACATAAACCAACAGAACGGAATATAAATATATATATCACAGTTTTTAAATAGTATTCAAAGTGACTGTTGGTGTATACAAAGTGACCATATAATCATGACATTAATATGTCCATAAAGTGACAGGGTGATGACACTATATACTGTCACTAAAAAGTGACTACTGGTGCTAAATAAAGTTACAGTAGTGATAAATAAATGTCCAAGAGGAAGTGATATGATTGAAGATCCAATATAATGATCTCAGAAAAATGGTGATCAACTTTTTATATCCAATGGTATGGTGATGTGCCAGGTAATAGTAGAATTGCGCACTCACCAGATGCGCAATTAAATCACGCATTAAAGATTAATACTCTCAGTGGTCAGCCGGAGGTCCCTTTAAGGATATACACAGCCTGGTCTGAAGTTCTGTCTCTTGGTCATCTGCAGTGAGCAGTACCTCTGCCATCCTCCTTATATAGCTCTGTGGGTTGTTAAGCTCACAAAGAGCCCAAAGAAAGGATGCCAATAGCGTGATACTGTGAGATGGGGAAACAGCTCTCATTGTTTGAATACTGCTTGTGTGGAGTAAATTAAATGTTTTGATTGACATTCTGCAGTATAGCCACAAGATGTCACTGTTTTTCTAACACAGCCTCAGACTGCATAGAGATTTCTATATTCATGAAGAGGTGGAGTTTTCACACAGAGGAGAGAGAGAAGCCATGTTCTGGAGAATGGTGAATGAGGGGGGCCATGTGAGCTGAGAATCTGATGACATCCACGTGTGAGAGCACCCTCAGTAACCAGAGATTGCTGCCAGGAATGCGGATGAGATTGCTGCCAGGAAGCTGATGAGATTACTTCCAGGAAGGCTGATGAGAGCAGAGGAACTAAGCAACATATACGGCAAGACCGCATGCTTGTTGGAGAGACATTTGTTCTGTTCAGAGTCATCAGCGGATACAAAGCAGACCCGGGTTGGTAAGATCGTGCACGCACCTCATTTCAGTGTTGGTGCCTTGAGACTGAGTCCAGGCCTATAGTTAGTTAGTTAGTTAGGGTCTCGGTTTGTGTCAGGCTACAAGTGTTGTTACTGATTATTGGAAGGACTCCACAAATTAAATTTCACATTAGAGAGCTGATAAAATCCTACAAACTCAAGCCAGTCTGGCATTTTGCTCAGAAGCAATACTCAGGCACGTGCTACAGGACCAGTTATGGGAGGGGGAATACTGTAGATTTGTGTAAGATTGTAAGCTGTTGTGCTGCACCGCAGGCTAGCCCAAACCGTACACCCATACACTGATTCCTGCTCTTTTAGGGTAATAACAGGTAATGTGTGGCAGCTTATTTGTGCTCGCCAGTAGGTAAATTACTTTACTTTCTTCCTTCATCCATCAGAAGGCGCCGTGCTGTGCAGCACAAGGGTCTCAGCCTTTGGGCTGGGTGTATGTAAATGTATTGTATGTTTCCAGCATTTGTGATTGTGCTTATTTGCCACATCTAAGTAAAATTCTGTTGTGGCAAAAGCTGGTGTTGGGGTTGCTTTCCTCGTTCATGACTTCACTGTATCCTGGGGAGCCCACCCCGGTACACGGCTTACAATACTGCTTCAGAAAGTATTTATTCTGCAGTAGACTGATGAGCCTAGGCAAAGTCACCAGACTGGAGCTCAAGGATGTTGTTTGAATGATAAAAGGTGGGTTGCAGCTTGTTCTGCACCCACAGGGTTACAGGTGTAACAGGGGTTACTTGGTGGACCTTGATGGAGATTCTATGATCTCTCGTTTTTCCAATGCCACAGCAAGTGTTCATCATCATGGTTTACCAGTCAGGTAAAAAGAAAAAAAAAAAAAAAAAAAAAGTTGTTGCGTCAATATTGATAAAAACACAAGTTACTTTATAAACGTGATAAAATCTTCTTTAAACTGTGGGTCATTTCTGCAAAGCACACTCTCAGTTTTCAGTTTTTTTACCTGAAGAGTCTCTGTGAGATTTTACAGCTCAATAAAATGAAGCGTCATGTTATCCAGCCTACACTGTGAAAAACTTGTATGCCTAACACCGCGTTCATTTTAGGCTCCATGCACACTATCGGTTTCTTAAGCTCCTAAAAGCTGTGTTTAGCATTTTTCTGCTCCTAGAAGGTAGTGTTATCCTATTTGCTCATGCACACTACTTTAGGCTATTAGCAGTTTTTTGAGCTTCAACGCTTAGGAGAAGAAAAAAATTGTTTTTGTAGACTTTTTTGGGAGAGTTTTTCCAGCAGAAAAAAAACACTAAGCATTGCTAAACGCTCCTAAAAGCTTTGTTTTTCCCTCTACATGTACTATACAAACACTAATAAAACACTAATGCTCCTAAATACTTTTGAATGCTACTAAAAACCACTATTACCCATTTTCTATCCATGTTTTTTCCAGTGTTTCTTGAGCTTAAAAATGCTAGTTTGCATGGAGCCTTAGAGTGCTGGCTGGATGGATGATCAGAAGCTTGGAAGGCAATACATTTACTTACAGATAAGAAAAACAAGAGGAGCTGTGATTTGCAACACTGACAGCACAACCCCAAACATTTCACCTGTGCACTTGACATCAGCTCTCCTACAATAAAACCCACAATATCTTCTTTGAGGTTTGCCATTTTGTTATCCTGAGTGATTTGTAAATTGCAGTTATGTGATATCCCTTAAATGTGCAGAATTTGTTGCTGTGCTATTTTTCAATACATATCTGGGGCTACTATTAATTCTTAATTAAAACAAGGAAATTAATAAGAAATGTATCTCAAAGAAACTAAATTAAAATCCTATCTGTCCTGAAAAAAAATAGGCATAATATGTTACAATAACCTACAAAAGCATCTTTTGGTATAAGAAACCAAAACATCAAAATAAAAAATGCTCTGGAACTGTGGGTTATAGGAAGGAAATGGCTCAGGTGGTTATTAAAACTATCAATATACTTTAGAGTGTATCTGGATTGTGCTTGAATGCCATAAAAAATATAAGGCTAGGTAAAGGATAACACAAAACAATCTACCTAATGCCAGTAGGGTTTCCTTAATACTCCAGAGGATGTCTATTGAAAGACATGAAGAGCCTACTTGGTTTAGTATAGAAGCCATTTGAGAAAATGAAAGTAAGATAACTTATGAATTACGTACTTAGCTGAACAGATAAAAACACAAACCCCATCTCATTAGAGGGGTAAAATGGCTTCCCAGGAATTAAAAGAAAATCTAGGACAAGCTCATAAATCCGGGACTGTTATCAGGTAATATGTTTTGATGAATACATAAATCTTTTTGCACAGAAAAAAATCCTATCAGAACTGAACCAGTAACACACAAACAGAATCAGTAATTTATAGTCTTTCGATATTGATTACCTACACAAATGACCTACTTATTAAACCATGGAGGTGGTTTATTTTTTAATGTTTTTTCTTACACTCATTACCTAGTGAGGAGATAAGAGCACATCTCATTAACTGGGACACAGACAACAATGAAATTCTGGCAGATTGTCCCCCAATTCCTGTTCAGTCTCATATACATAACACTCAAATAAATCAAACGGGGTGAGAGGAAATCTCCCAAACTGGAGCAAAGAGAGCTGCCCAATAAATGGCTGTAGTTGAGCTTTAAACACTTATTAGTCCATACTGAAGTATAGAGTGACATAATTTTTCTATTGCAACACAATGGGTATTAATTGATCAGCAGGGGAAGGGCATTCCCCTTGATGGTTTACTGCTAGAAGCTTTTCAGTACATCTTAAACCTACTTCATGCTTACATAGATATGATCATAAGAGTCGAAAAAGGAAAGAGTGACCTCGCTGTTCCTGGGAAAAGATTAGAACAGTGCATTTTAATTTGCTGGAGGACTCATTGACTATGCAGATCTGACAGATCTGTTTCGTTGGCCAAGTGGGCCACATGCACCATTGTCCCAATGTCCAACTAGTGCTTCTTGAGAATACAAAACTTCATAAATAATGATGACTCATTTATGATGTCCTTTAGTGAAATGCAGTTCCCGTATTTTGCATGAACTGAGACTCAGACCCCTATCAAAAGTTCACAATAATGTTCATGATGGTATCAATTTCTGTAGTCCCAAAATAGCCATTACAGGCATGCAGTTTGTTTATCACTGGCAACACCCATGCCACTAGGAGTAAGGCTCCAGTGCAAATTTTCAAAGGTCTCAGATGGAAGCAAATCTTGGAGGGCTGGAAGTTCAAACTCTCCTCTGGTAGACTTTACTTTAAACACCTTTATATCAGGTGTCCCTTCAGAGTACCCCCTTATATCAGGTGTCCCCATCAGAGTACCCCCTAAATCAAGTGTCCCCATCAAAATGCCTCCATACATCTGGTGTCAGTACAAATACTGTAGCTGCTGACTTTTAAAAAACAAACACTTACCTATCCCAGAGTCCAGCAATGTCCTCACCTGACCCGGACTTTTGTTCTTTCTGTGGTCCCCGGCGCTGGCATTTTAACAGTAGGCAGCCAATTGTGACCC